CACTTCCCCCTTGGCAACCACAAGTCTGTTCTCTATGTCTGTGAGTCTGTTTTTGTTTCATAGATAGTTGATTGTGTTGTATTTTAGATTCCACATGTAAGTGATATCATATGGGATTTGTCTTTGACTTACTTCACTTAGTATGATAATCTCTAGGTCCATCCATGTTGCTGCAAATGGCATTATGAAATGTCCTTTTTACCTTCATTAATGTTCTTTGCTTTAAAGTCTACTCTGCCTGATACTAGTAAGATATACCAGCTTTCTTTTAGTTGGTATTTGTGAATTATGTTTTACATCCTTTTGCTTTCACACTTTCCTCTCTGTATGAAGTGTCTCTTTTAAGTGAAAGCTTATTTTTTAATCATTCTTACAAACTTTGCCTTTTAATTGTAATAATTTAATTATATTTAATGTTATTGCTGATAAGTTTGAGCATAAGTCATCCATCTCATTCATTGTTTTCTATTTGTCCAGCCTGTTTGATTTCCCATTTACTGTCCTTTGCATTAAATTTTTAATTAATTAATTAATTAATTAATGGCTGCGTTAGGCCTTTGTTGCTGTGCGGGGGCTTTCTTTAATTGCATTGAGTGGGCTTCTTATTGCGGTGGGTTCTCTTGTTGCAGAGCACGGGCTCTAGGCGTGCAAGCTTCAGTAGTTGTGGCATGTGGGCTCAGTAGTTGTGGCACATGGGCTTCAGTAGTTGTGGCTCGCAGGCTCTAGAGCACAGGCTCGGTAGTTGTGGCACATGGGCTTCAGTAGTTGTGGCTCGCAGGCTCTAGAGCACAGGCTCGGTAGTTGTGGCACACAGGCTTAGTTGCTCTGCGGCGTGTGGGATCTTCCCGGACCAGGGCTTGAATCCGTGTCCCCTGCATTGGCAGGTGGACTCCCAACCACAGCACCACCAGGGAAGTCCCTGCATTAATTTTTTAATGCTATATATTCTCCTCGCAGTTGGCTTGTTAGTGTCTTTTACTGTTCCTTTAGTGCTTACCCTAAAGATTACATCATATATTCTAATAATAGACTGAAATTTTATTAAAAATTAGTACTTTTACCCCTTCCCAGTTAATACAAAGACTTTAGAACGTTTACCATATGTAACTACATTTATCCTCTCCTACACTTTTGCAGTTCTTTTCATGTATTTCAATTTTATATATGGGTATGTGTGTGTGTATATATTTTAAATCCCATCAGATATATTATTGTTGTTTTATGAAGTCAGTAGTCATTGAGATTTACTTATATATCCTCCCTTTCTGTTATTTTTCATACCATACTCTGTATGCTTTTATCTGGGGTCATTTTCTTTCTGCCTGAGGGCTCTTTCCATTAGTATAGTCAGCTGTTGACAAACTCTTTTGGCTTCTATTTTTCGGGAAATTATTTTGTCTTTATTTTTAGTGATCCTATAATTCCATCTAGGCAGTTATTTTTATTCAGAACTTTGAAGATATCATTGCGTTGTCCTCTGGCTTTTGATGCTTCTTTGCAAAAGTCTTCCGTTAGTTTTATTTTTACCCTTTTGAAGGAATTTTTTTCCCCCACTCCAGCTGTTTTAAACGTTTTACTTTTGTCTTTAAGTTTTCAGCAGTTTTACTATGATATGCCTGGGTGTGGTTTTCTACTATCCTACTGGTGTTTATAATACTTACTGAATCTCTGGTTTAGTGTCTTTTATCATTTTTCCAATTTTCACAGTCACCTCTGCACATTTTGCTTCTCACTCCTTCCATTCTGCAATTCCAGTATGAGACCTTTTTACCATATCTTATGTGTATCTTATGTTTTTTTCTGCATTTTCCATTTTTTCTCACCATGCTTCTATCTAAAAATGATCTTTTAACTGTTAATTCTCTGCTATTAAAACCATCTATTAGTTCTAAATTTCAGTTATGTATTTTTCATTTTAGAATTTCTTCATATTTCTTTTTATTATTTTCAGTTCTATATATAAGATCTCTACCTTGTCACTTAATTTCCTAATTACAGTTATACAAAATTCTATGGCTCATGAGTTCAATATCTGGTTCTCCCAATTTCTGTGAACCTGGATAAAAATTTCTTTCCTTTCACTAACTTCTAACTGAAATTTAGCATTTCCTTTAATTATGAAAGTAGGCAACAAAGTCACAGGTGTACCTGCAAATTTCAGATGCTTTCATATCACATTACCATTGTTACAGGTATATTGAAAGATACATTGTTTATGATCATCACTGCTTTGAAATTACAGAAGTTATCAGACCTGCCTCTAGGCCTAGTTACTTGATACATTAGTGTAGAAACTCCATATTATGTCAAAAATTTTAAAAAATATATATTTTTATAGTTATTTCTTTATGAATGATCTCCATGGTGTGTCTAGTGTGTTTTTTTTAATGTGTTTAAAAACATGCTAAGAAGGGCTCCATAGACTTCAGACTATAAAATAGTCCAGGCCAAAAAAGTGGTTCTGTACAGAATAGGTCAGATTGTGTCATTTCTCAGCTCAAAATGCTCTAGTGGGTTTCCTCTCATTTCTTCTAGAGAGAGTAAAACCAAGGTCCTTTTGGTGCCTTACCTGGCCCTCCATGATCTGTACCACCCCACTGGCTGCATTCTGACCTTATCTCCAACTCCTGTTCTTTTTGCTCATTCTACAGCCACATTGGGAACATACCAAGTATTCTCTTCCTGCAGGTCCTTTCTAGTAACTGTTCCCTCTTCTCGGAACACTCTTCCTGAAAATATCTGCATAACCTACTACCTCAGTTACCCGATAAACTATTCAGTCACTTACTTCCTGACCACTCCACTTAAAATATTTATTCCTGCCCCCTTGGTACCTACTATCTGCCTTCCCCATTCTATTTTTCCCTGTACACTTATCACAGTCTTTCATATTATGTATTTTACATATTTATTAGCTTAGTATTGATTTTGGGAGGGGGTCTTACCATAGGCCTCTGTTACTGGCGGGTGGGGCCTTCAGCAATAGTTAGGTCAACTTTGGAGAGCTGTTGTCATTCCCATGCATAACTTTCATCCCTGCTAGCACCACTGTTTCATTTATGAGCCTATTGCATTAAGAGTGGAGTGGACGATGACAAAAGCTAGCTAATGTCAACTGAACTGGCCAACTAACTTTGTCTGCATGGTTGTTCATTACCTCTTTTAAGGTTGATGCTCTCTGGGGTTAACATGTGATACAAAGAGCTTCATTTTTGGTGTCCACTTTCATATGTCTGTCTATGTGGATCTTCCCCACATCTCCTTTTCTCAGTCTCCTGATCTTTTCTAGGTTTTATCTGTCATCTCCTGGGGAGAGTGTTTCTAACCAATATAGTTTAGACATTTTGCTCACCCGATATAGTTAACATGCTGTCATGGAGATCATGGACCAGCATGAATTTCTCTGGATTGTCCAGGTGATCCAGGTCCCTTGGGACTATTTTAAGACAAAGGACTAGAAAATTAACATAGCCCTGGTTCAAGCACGTAAATGTATGCTGCTGTTGATTTACATATGAATGTCAACTGCTTTTGGTCTTCCTTCCTAATAGAAGTAGAAACACCTGCTTTATGGGATCAGTGACTGCATAGCACTTACCTGACAGAGAGCAACAACCCTGTCTTTATATGCTGCTAAATGGGCCCTCCTGCCTTCAGTCTCTAGTCTTTAATTGGTGATGAATCATCCTCAGCCTTTCATTGTCTTTCTTTTTTGTGCCGACTGCCCCTAGCAATAGCTACCTGGTTCCATAGTCCTTTCAATTACTTCCTTTCCTGTACCTCTCAAATGCCTGAAGTATTGCACCAGCCAGTGCCTTCCCTTTGACCAACAGTTTTAGCAGTTGCATTTGCGCTGCTGCAGCTCATCAGGGACTATGTACCACCAGAGATGGGGGTCCTCATTGCTAACCAGTCAGTGACTGACACCACTGGAGGGGACTTCACAGGTCTACTTTTGCTACCAAGTCTCTCAGGTTAGGTTCCCCCCAAACATTTTGAAGCTTCAGGATTTGCATGTAGGAGGTTTGTTGAGGGAGTGCTTCTGGGATCAACCCCTAGGAGAGAAGGTGCGGGGAAACGGCATTAGGAAGATGGAGGAACTGAATTGCCAGGTAGTTGCAACAGCAGTCTCAGCTGATACCCACAGGGAGATCTGAAGCTGGAATAATCCTTCTGTGATATTCCCAATTGAAACAGAGGGCTGAACCATTTTACTGCACATTGACCAGTCATTGACTGTGGGATGCTTTGGGATGGTAACATAACCTTGGATGAGGGAGTTCTCTGCGACTCAGGAAAATTCCTGAGGGTTTAGTTTAGTTGTAAGCCACCAGCAGGCCAAATCCTGGAAGCTTGGGGGAATGAGTACTTCAGTCCTGAAAGGATTGATCTGGGTGGCACACTGTAGCAGTCACTACAGCCCCATGGCAAGATCACTTTCAGTGGGTTGGTGAGGGTGGGAAGGATACTACAGTGCTAGAGAAATAAGGAGGGAGATGAAAACTTGTTTAGATAGCTTAGCTGTGAAGGGGAGGAGGGAGAGGGAGAGTAGTCAGAAGTTACTGAGGAGACTGGAAAGGGGTGGGATCCAGAATATAGGTAGTAGGTATGCCTGGGGCAGGAAGAGGTTCATTTTCACCGTTGTAATCAAAAGGAAGAAGCAAGAGAGGCATTCAGAAGCAGATACATTTATAACAGTAATCAGCAGTTCTTGTTATGTTTCTTCTGGGAAAGAGCAGGAAGAATCAACAGCTACAGAGGGGGAGTTGTTTGGGTTGAAGATTTAAGGCGAGTAGAGATTTTAATAGATTTTGCTATGGAGAGTGGGAGGGGAGCTTAACAGGGTAGGCACTGGTGTTGAGGGCCCATTTGAGGTTGATGTTCCTGATTTTGTAGAATTAATTTGTGGAGTTGTGTGACCGTTTTTCTGACAGTGCTTAATAAGTGAAAGTATAAACATGCTCAGTGTCTTACCAGGTTGTCTTTTTTTTTTTTCATAGCCATCAGATCAAGTCATTACAGTACAGTAACACAGGAGACATGATTCTTGTTGTATCTGGAAGCTCTCAGGCCAAAGTGATTGACAGAGATGGTTTTGAAGTAATGGAGTGTATAAAGGGAGACCAGTATATTGTAGATATGGCCAACACCAAGGTAAGTATGACACACAATATTTTAGTGAATTTAATTAATTTAGTACACAGTTACTATCAACTTGTTGGTGCTGCCATAATTTACCCCAAAAGTTAATGTCTTAAAAATAATTTATTATTTCTTGCAATTTTGTGCATTGACCAGGAAGTTCTTCTGCTTCATAGTGTCAGCTGGGGCACTAGGATAGTTGTAAAGTCCAAAATGGCCTCACTCTGATGGTTTACAGCTGGTGCCCTCACCAGTGGCATTTCTTTCTCTCTTCCTCTTTCCCCTGCCCCTTCTCTCTCTCTCTTTCTCTCTCAATCTCTCTCTCTCTCATACACACACACACACACACACACACACGCACACACGCACGCACACACACGTTCTCTCCCTCCAACCCTGCCCCCTTTCTCCTTCCACGTGTCTAGTTTGGGCTTTCTCACAGTGTGGTAGACTCTTAGTGTGGTTTGACTTGCTGCTTGGTGACTAGGTTCCGTGAAGGATGAACATGGGAACTTCAGATTCCTTAAGGTCTGGTGTTGAGTCTTACACAGTATCAACAGGACCAGCCCAAATTCGAGGAGAGAGGAGATAGACTTCACCATTTGGTGGGTGAATGGCAAGATCACATTGTAAAGTATCATGGGGGTTGGGAGATATGAATGCAGCCATCTTTTGAAATACAGTCTACCACAAACCTACTATGTACTAGGCTTTAGAACAAGAATGAAAAAGGGTCTCATTCTTTTTATGTAAAGGATTTTAGTGATATAATGATATTTTTAAATTAATGTATATTAAATATCAATTAACTGTAGTCCCAGTAATGCTATGAAACTTAATGGCTTATTTATAATTGCTAACATATATATGGGTTGGCTGCTCTTGCCTGGGCTTGGCTCCAAGCTGCAGATAGAGTGTAGGCTTGTTCTGTGTGACTCTGTTCCTCCTTGTACCAACAGACTACCTGAGGGCATGTTTTTCTTATGGTGATGGCAGAAAGACAAGAAGGAAACTCCAACTCTGAAAGCATATTTCAAGCCATTGCTCATATCATGTCCACGAACATTCCACTAACCAAAGCAAATCACATGACCATGAGTAACATCTGGTCTCTAGTGAGAGGAACTGTAGTACCACATGTCAGAGGTTGTGGATACAGGGAGGGGTGATGGATTGGGAACAATAATGCAATTTTTAATTTAGTGACCACACTGTGCAGCACTTTGTGCTTTCTTGATTTTAAAAGGTTTTTATTATGCATTATATCAAGTCTACCACTGTATGAGTGGAAATTAAGACTTTATGTAGTTTTTATATGTTGTAATATTTCTCTAAGTAAATCTCTCCTATACATAAATAAAAATGATTTAAAGATATGTTAAAGTGTCAGTGCATATGGTTGATGTAGAATTTTGAGCCTTCATTTGAATTCTGATTTTCACTCTTTCTTCCCCTCCTATCTAGTACCTTCTTCTAGTACCTTTGGGTTGTGCCTAAGTCAGCATCTTACATGAGATTTGATTGTCTAAGAAAGTACACTTGACCCTCATTATTTGTGATTTCTGTATTTGCAAGCTCACCTACTTGCTAAAACTTTTTTGTAACCCCAAAATCAATACTCACAGCCCTTTCATGGTAATTTCCAGACATGCATCTGGCAGAGTGGCAAAAAAGCATTTGAGCAAGGCGATGCTCCACTTTCTTGTTTCTGTTCTCATGCTGTAATCAAGTGTCCTTTTGGAAGTCTATTTAGTGCTACATTTTTCTTATTTTTGTGCTTTTTGTTGGTGATCTTGCTGTTTAAAATGGCCCCCAGGGCTGAATTGCTGTAGTCCTGTCAAGTGTTACCTAAGTTCAAGAAAGTCTTTGATGTGCCTTATAGAGAAAATACATGTGTTAGATAAGCTTCATTCAGGAAAGAGTTATAGTGCTGTTGGCTATGAGTTCATTGTTAATGACTCAACCATATATGTTAAATAAAAGATGTCCTTAAAACACAGACATATATAAAACAAAGTTATGTATTGATTGGTTGACAAAAATGTGACCAGAGACTTGCAGCAATCTAATCCTGTATTTGATAATTCAGTGTTTGCAGAACTTTGTAGACCATAACTACTGTGAGTAATGACTGTAATCTATTTTAGGTGCTCTAGTTGAGCTATTGGAATAAATTAATACAGTGTGTTTCAAACTGCCCTCTGCTGAAGCCTAGTGAAATGCCTCTTAATCCTAATGAGGATCACAGTCTCATGCCTTTCCTTTTGTTTATTGACTGTTTATTGAGTGTCCAGTGTGTGTTAGATGATTCAAACAGCATTCAAATATAATTAAACATAATGCTATATGCAATTATATTGTAGTGGTGGCTTGAATAGTGTTTTTTTCCCCCACATATTCCACTAGAGTTTCTCTCCCCTCATCTTAAAATCATTGCCCTAAGGATTCCACCAAAGATGTTGTTTTGAGGGTGATGGTGATAAGGAAATAAAGCAGATAGGCCTCCAGATCAATCGCCCTATCTTAAATAGTTCTGTTTTTATCTGTTTTATTTGAAGCTTTTGGGAATCTAAAACTTTATTTAAACAATGGGTTTGTGGAAAGGAAAGCTTTAAAAACTCTTATTTAACTTATTCTTTTTTAGTTTATGGTTACCATAGACAATTTTTCTTAAATAATATGAGGAAGAGAAGTTTTTGCCAGTTTCTAAGCTCTTAATGATTTCAGCTGCTCAGGGCTTCTTACATTATAAAAAGACTAAGACTTGGTGGATTTAGGTTTTAGCCAAGAAAATTTCAAGAAGAAAGAAATCTGGTTGGTTCTATATCTGGCTGTTTCTGCAGTTTCAGAAATATATATATATTTATATATATATATATATAACATATAGTAAGATTATTGGGAAAGTAGGATGAGGGTGGATAAACAAATCTATGTAGAAATGTAGGAAATTAAAATATTAAGTTAATTACCAATATGCAGAAAACAACCGTATATTATAACTAAATATTATAACTCTCCCAATCTTGTCTAATATTATCTCTACTTTGATTTCAAAATCATGGTTAATATTTACTCTCTCCATTTTCCAGAAGCAAATATAATTAACTATTTGTTTAGGAAACATTACTTGTAACTTAATTGTAGTCTTTGGCTTGAGTGATGGGTTTTAGAAATGCAAGAATTATTATTTGAAAGAAGCAGATTTCATTGGACACTTTTTCTTAATTTCTAAGCTTCTTTTCTGATTCCAAGAGTAATTATTAACTTGTGGCTTTACTGGAAAGTTCAACAAGTAGGACATTAAAAGAAACTATTAAATATATCTGATCTATTATTATAAAATATTATGTACTTCAAACATAAACAGGCCTTTCTAATTAGATAATTAAATTGTTATATCGTTAGATTTTTATCTCTAATCTTTGTGTCTTTGTGTGTATGTGTATATTTCTTTTTAATGTGTACCTATAGTGGTACAGAATTTTTTTTTTCTGTTACATACTGCAACACAATGCATTACAGGGAGAGTATTCATATTTATACCTTTAAAAAATAGTTTATTGGGTTTCTAACAGTAATTCTTATTGACTATTAAAAATTTGGAAAAGAAAAAGAGAAAAAATAATTCTACTACCCAAATATAATCACTATTAAGATGTCAATTTCTATATTTTTTCTTTATGCATCTGAAAAACATTTTTTCTGATCACACGGGAACCTTTACATCATTTATTGTTTGGAGCCACATTTGACATGTTCTGCAGTCTTGGGATTGTATGCCAGTGCCTCAGGGCCTGTAATGGGGTGGAATGAGAGGCCTTAGAGTGTGAGTGAGGGGCAGCAGGCCTCCTCCTTCAGCCAGAGAAGTTCCAATTTTGTCTGTTTTATGTGTTGGAGTTCTCTATAAGATATCCTTTGAAAATCAGGTTCTGCTGTGTCTTTAAAATATGAAGGTCACTGATCTGGGGTTCATGGGATTTATTGGTTATATTGTCTGGGAAAATGGGACCTTACTTCTTCAGGTTTAAGTCATTAGGAAAGTAGGACAAGGATAAACAGGAATCAACCCTTAAACCATTCAAAAGCATGCTTTAAAAACTGTAGTTATATTGTCATCTAAAACTTATTTATTCTAAACGAGAATGTTAGTACATTACTTCCAATCAGAGAGTGTTTTTCTTTTTTTCTGTTCTTTTTTTTTGACCACGCCCTGCGGCATGTGGGATCTTAGTTCTCTACCACGGATCAGACCTGCGCCCCCTGCAGTGCAAGTGCGGAGTCTTAACCACTGGACCGCCAGGGAAGTCCCAGAGAGTGTTTTTCTCTATTACTTTAAACTCTTAGACACATACTTTGCCTTCAGCCTTTTTCTTTTTCAACATTAAAATAGTTCTGTGCCATTTATTTCATAATTACTTGGCTAAAGTGGGAGGGGACAGGCTCAGGGGACACCAGAATTCTTGAATATTTTAGTGGGCCATCTCTCTGTGAGTATACTTTAATTATGGAGATTAGAAGCTTTATAAGGAATTCTGGGAAAAAGGTATTTTCAAATGCTGTATTTATATTTGAATAGTACATGTAGTTATTCTGATATCCAGCCACTCGAGAAAATTGCCCTTCTTATTTGGAGATGAAATATTTTAGTCATATCCTTTTAATGGTAAATATTGTTTCTTAGGAGTAAAATATTGTAAACTGTGGATTCTAGGTATATTTTTATTTCCTTAAGCATTTGTAACTGATGGTTTTAACTGCAAATATAAACTCTAAAAAATGCAGTGATTTAAAGTACATTGTGTTTCTTTGCACTTTCTGAATATTTCCAGAGCTTTTTATCTAATGAAACTCCATAACACAGGTTTCTATCCTTTTGACATATCCCCATCATTTTGGGGGTACTTTCGTACATTCTGGCACAACAAAAGTTCCTGGCTCACCTTGTACTTTTCTGTTCTGATTTCTCTTGCATTCCATGGCTCTTTTGAATAGGGAATTCTATTTACAAA